CAATTTTTCGCATAAGTGACAGTTATGCGATGAATATGCAACAGTTTTCGCATAACCTTCGCACATTCCGAGGAGAAAAACTTAATTTTTTATTGAGCGGTGTTAAAAACTTAACGTGTCTTTATATTGGGGAGATAAAGATTTTTTCCCCTTATTTAATTGGCCTTTTTTTACCATTTATTACAAATTCTTAAAATAATGAGTCAAATTCATTTTTATAACATTGAATCCAAAATCATTCTATGTCATTGTATAAAAAGAGAATGTATCCTTTCTGTTAATGTCAATGATTACCAATAATCATTTCAATGATTTTTTTCTTGAAATAACTATTAAGAATCAGAAAATTAATTTCACAATTAAAAAAAAAAAAAAATGATAAAGAAAGACAAGTATAGGTTTGTTGGCTATTTTGAACATGACTATGAAAGCCATTGGTTTAGGGAATAGGCAATTTATGTGATTATTATTCTATTTGTTCGGCGCTTTCGTTTCCTTTCAATACCTGAAGATGTCATGCTTTTTCGTAATGCGGTTTGTGCCGTTGCTTCTCAACTTGTTGGTCGTGGTGGTCACGTTGCTTATATGATCACAGTCCTCCCTTTTTTTTTTTTGTATTTGAGATTTTTCAATGATTATAATTTAAAACTTTTCCTGATGTTCTTTGCATTTCAGTACGTGGAGGAAGGTGTTGTTAATGAGTACCTTCCCCACGGAGAAAGTACCAATATCTATCATTTGAATGAAACGTGTACGACTTGGAAAATCCGAGGCTTATCAACAGCTTGATGGAGAGATTGTCCCTTATATTATCCATCAAGCTTTCATTAATATAAGGGACAATCTCTCCATCAAGTTGTTGATAAGCCTCGGGATTTTTCAAGTCGTACACGGTTTCATTTAAATGATAGATATTGGTACTTTCTCCGTGAGGAAGGTACTCATTAACAACACTTCTCCACGTAGTGAATTGCAAAGAACATAAGGAAGAGTTTTAATAATCGTTGAAAAATCTCAAATAAAAAAAAAGGAGGACTGTAATCTTACAAGCAACATGGCCACCACAACCAGCATGTTGAGAAGCAGCGGCACAAACCGCATTACGAAGAAGCATGACACTTTCGAATATTGAAAAAAAACGAAAGCGCCAAACAAATGGAGTAATAAGCACATATATAGCCTCTTCCCTGACACCCATGACATCATAGTCATATTCAAAATCGTCAACAAACCTATACTTGCCTTTCTCATTTCCAATAACAGCTACTCCAAAAGTCCCATGAGGTCCATGAGAGACAATGTAGAAAGAGGCACCATAATGATCTTCCAAATAATAGTATTTTCCAACATCTCTTACGTCAGAGAAGAGCTGAAAAAAAAACCACAATATATTTTAAATAAAAATATTTCACAAACAACACATTCATAGGAAAAAAAAGACCTAAAATCTGGACATAATTATAATATAAAAATCCATTACAAAACCACAACATTCTTACAAGAACATTCTTTGCCAAAAGACTATGGACAACTTCAATTTGCTGAGACATAAAATTTAGCATGAGTGAATGAGTTTTACTTTGATGAATGAATACAGCTGGGACATGTTTGTGCACTCTACTTCTAATCTTATAATTATTTGTGATCACACTCTAAAGAAATTTGTAGATGTCTGTTTTGTTTATTTTCAAATATTGAATGTTATCTATACTGTAAGTTCCACTGCCCTCTATCAAACTTATAATGAAATTGTTTTAATAAGCCATGGAACTGTCATTGCGAATTTGAAGGTCTAGGGAGGTTTTTTATTGAAGAAGAGGTTATCCATCAGGAGAGAAATATGTTGGTAAGTTCACTGTTAACATCATGTTTGCTTTTTTGTTCAATGTGGCTTTTGTGTTTGTTTAATCTTTTTCTCTGCTCGTTTTATTTTTTTAGCCCGTGACAACGTTGAGAAAATAATTTTTTCTCTGCTCATTTTATTTTTTCAGCCAGTCACAACGTTGAGAAAATAAGAAGGTCAACAAAAGTAGAGAAATGGAAATAGAAAGTCAAAACAAATTTGCATAGTGAAGCTACTATCACAACAATATAGAATACTAATTTAAATTTTTAGATCAAAACAGATTCAATAAATATGGTCAGAAACCTTTTAGGGGTGATTGAATATGAATTCAACTTGTAAAAAATTAGTTTCTTTTTAACTATAGTTAAGTTTGAAAAAAATATAGTATAGTTAATTGTTAGTGGATATATTAAAATAATATTTAAAATAAAATAATTAAAGTTGATTGAGTGTAAAAGTAGGAGAAAATAATTGGAAGTGATGGTTAGTTAAATTATGTGAGTGGATGAATAGTGAATTAAAGGTGATGTGATGTGTAAGAATGATTAGGTGATATTATTAAATTATATAGATAATATTGGAGATAGCGGAGTTGAGTTAAAGTTGATTTAAATTTGAGTTTTGATTGATTTTTTTACTGTACAATCTATAAACAAATTGCCCCCTTAGGGTTCACATACTTTAACAAAAGGAGCCTAAAAGGACATAATCGAAACAGGGGAAATAATCACAACAAGGTAAAAAAAAAAAAACAAAAAACAAAAAAAAAAAACAACATAGTCATCAAGAAATCTTGACAAATTTATCAGTGCATTTTTTGTCCATTAAAACCATAGATCTACAAATTTAGCCTAAACAGATAGCCATACAATGTCCACACCAGAAGGAAGCTCAGTCTTGCAGGAAGGCTTGATCACAGATAATAACACGAAAGATATCTTATATGAGAAGCTAAAACAGAGAAACTGAAACCTTTAACTAAATCAGGAGAGTCAAATTGTTGGCAAGCAGCAAACAACAGACACAGTAGATTATTCAAATCATATTGGCAAAAAAAGCAATCTCCAGTATGCATAATAAGTTACAAACAAGAAAATTGTGTTATTAGGTGTTCTGGAAAGCCCCAAAAGCCAAGAAGATGGTCATCATGGTCTCAAGCACTATATGCAGAGACGGATCTAGAACTTAAGAATAGATCACATTTCATAAAAAAAAATCACATAAGAAATGAACTAGCACCAAATATGATCAACCGTTCTATACTCATGATCAACCTTTAAAAAATGAACTCGCACCAAATAAATTGTCTACCGAAAGTGCAAAATCTATAAAAGAAAATCCCTTATACCAAACCAGAAATGAGAAATCTCTCAAGGTGGCTCTTAGTATAATTTAAACTGAAACAATAACATGATAATTAAAAAAAAAATACTATGGTTCATAAATTGATCAAATGTAGGCGCATCTGAGTATACAAAATTTGAAGCATATGCTAGATCTCAACACGCAATTACTCAAAATCCAGAAAAAAAAAAAAAAAAAAAAATTAAATTAAAAATCACAGACACAGTAATATTTTGAATGCTTGAGGCTTCAAATTTCTCGTTTATTTTCAAGAACAAACACCAAATCATGGATGCTTCACACAATAATTAAACCTTATTTTCTCCCTTCACAATATACGTAATCCAGCCATCTAGGGTTTGTAAAGTAAATATAATTTTTTTTTTTTTTTTTTGGTACCTTTTAAATCGGATGGCCGAGTGGAAGTGATGGCTGGTCGGCCGACTAGTTGACGACAGAATTCGGCAGCCGGTGAGTGAAAGCAGTCCGCACTCTGCAAAGATTGTAGAAATTGCAACAATGGAGACTGAGGAGTGAGGAGGCAATTGAGATGGAATAAGGGAACAAAATTCTTAGAGGAATTTGCACGGTACACGTTCACAATAATTAAATATTATATAATTACCTCCATTATATAATTATTTATAAATTAACAAATTTGTTAAATTTATTTGCATATATAC